GGTATCACATTATACTTGATTGATGCATCTGTGATTCTTTCATTGAGTTCTTTACAGAACATGCTGGCTGATTCCCTAATTGTGCACTCATAGCAAAAAGTGGCTAATTAAGGTTGCAGACCCATATTCAACCACACTGTCAATTTCTTGATAAGTATAAGGATACTCAAAATTATAACGTATAAGATTATACACCTGTACTAGTAAACAAGCATTCAATGTATTTCACTGAAATTCCATTCTTTTTCTGTTATCTTTATTACAGCATCAAACTTTTTGTCATAAAAGAGTTAGGCAATTGCCTCCTAAAAGCAAAGAACATTATTTGATACTGTAACTGTTAAGCAGAAACTGCAGATGCATTTTGAGATGTTCTCCCCTTTGTTCCAACAAGTCTAAACTGATGCTTATTGCTGAAATATGTACCTAAAAGTACTCGGTTCTCTGCTGCATCTTGTCCAAATGAGGACTGAATCTAGCCAACTATATGGTAGCAGAGCAGGGCAACTACGTGCTCTCTAGCAATAATTACTGGCTATTAAACATTGGCAGGTGCCCATTGTTAATTTAAAACATTGCGAAGAAATATACAGCACAATTTTCCAGTCTCTCAGAACACAATTGCTGAGGTTGCAAGAAATAGATTGAGAATTGCACATAATGGGAGGGTTGGCCCCAGAGAGATGTTTGCCCATTCCTCATCATTTAGCATTTAAGTTCTGGTCAAGGAGGCCCATAACCACCCTTCTTTAACCCTCCCCACAACTTCAGACCCTCAATTAAACATCTTTTAAGGGCCTCTGCCCACCACTGGCCCATCTACCTGCCTACTTGACAGGTGAGAAAAGTAGCTGCTTCCTGATAGGGAAGCCAAGATGACCTACCTGCCAGTTGGAGAGTTCTATCTCCGCCAATCTGGGCAAACAGGAAACAAGGGACAAGAGGCAGGTGGTTGGCCACTGAAAGCTACACCCCTGCCCTTGCTTCCCACACCGTCACCCCCACACTGTCTTTGTGACCCACATGGCTCCCAAAAAAGTACTTATCTACTTACTGCTGCAGCTCTTTATGGCTGCAGAGGCCAGGCCTCCAATAGCATTGTTCAGCTAACTGAGGCTGCTGGCCTGTGATTAGCCTGCTGCCTCAGGCAAGGCAGGATACCAGTGGCGAGGCTTTTGATTCAATAAAAAGCTCACTGGACAGCACATTCACATATCTAATTTGAGCTGTCCAATGACCCATCTCACTGGTATGAGCGGGGAGTTAATTGCCCATGTAGTTATCTGCCTCAACATTTTGTGCACAGAGCGTTAAATCCCAGCCATTTTGCCACCTCTACCATAACCAAGGCAGCTAATTCACCAGACACTGTGTATCACAGGACAGTTTTGATTTGGAGACCAATGCGTGGCATTTGTGCACCAAGGCATCCAGAAAACCATGCAGAAATGATTTTCTATGCTTCTTTCTGATAAGCCATCTCTGAACCATTGTGTACCATTTCTCCAACAGGTTATTAATCTCAATGTTAGATTGAGTAAATACTGGAGTTGAGTGAAAGGATGCTTAATGTTTTATTATTTGTTTGCTTCTTAAGATCTGATAATGTCTTACCTCCATTAAGATGTGCGCAAGCAGGCCATGGTTAAATGAATTTCCCAGAATTGATGGCAAGGTTACCCCCTGTTTGCACTCCCACCTCATGCACAGGATCTCATATTAAGAATTTCTGCATGGAGTTCAGCTAGACTTGGAAGATTTTTTCCAATAAGCAAAAAACCCTACTAATTCCTAATACACACTCCTCCTGCATAAACCCTGCAGTAGAAGCACGAATTTGTAAAATCTGTCTGTTTTACGTACGTCCACTTAGCACATCTTCCAAGGAAGCCTAGCAGAGATCATGTTTGTAGAACAGGACTTAGATCAATACCTTCAATGGCAGAGTATGTGTAGGATATGTGAAAATATTTTGTTGCTAACATTCCTGAATTGGATGGCAGAAGCCCCTAAATTGAATTACTTTATTGTCTAATTTTGTAACCTTAGAACCCAAAAAAATTCCAAAACCAATTTGGAGATATTTTGTTATCTCACATTGTTTGCAGTGGTTACATATCCCTGTTGCTGTGGAAAAATCTCACAACTGTCGATGTTGGGTGGGGTTCGGAAGGTAAAACACCTTAAACTGGAATCGGGCCAGGTTTATGCAGCTGCTTTTTCTTTACAGAGACTACTTTTACCATATTGCTTGTCCTATTCAGAGGCAATTTTCTTTTAATAAGAGAAGAATATTGTGACTGTTGAGAATAATCTCATATTTTCTTCATTTAAGCATGATATGTTTGGGTTTTTTAATCAATTATCGCATACGTGCTAGTTTAGAATCTGTAATTAAGGAATTTTGCCTTAAAAACAGTTCTTCATATAGATGCAAAGTAGACACTTAAACATCCTATATAGTGGGTAAGTCATGCTTGCTCGCTCCCCACTGGAGGTATAGCATTTGCTTTATTAACAAAGGAGAAAACAAGAAGCAACTGTAGCCTGTATCTGAAATGGAGAGTAGGTCTCCTATGCGATTGATGACCCAATGCCCATTTGAGGCCTCTTTTGTAATGCTGCATTCAGGAAAATTTGGCCTACATGCAGCCAACTAGCAGACCTCAATGCGACTGCAAGCGGCCATCAACTGTTTTCTTAGCAATACTTACATGTGCAGGAGTGTTGCCTCTGGTCATTTCCAACTTTTCTCCTTATTACTTCTGCTGTCTGATTGCTTTACCTCCCCCTCACTATCACCGCAGAACCAATCAGAGGGTCATAACAGGAAATCCTGCAACCCAAAACTGAAATCTTCTTCACTGGTGAGATGTGTGGGAATGCCCAGTGGGTGTCTGTAGCTCATTGATCATACATAAATAAGGCAAACTGCCTAACATACAGTGTGTCTTTGGTGTAGGGATTGCCAGTTTAATCCAGACAACAGTAGAGTGAGTCTCTTAACTAAGCAGAAATTACCCACTTAAGGGTCTCAATTGGGACAAGAGTGAGTGTGTCAATTGATGCCTCTACGGCTGCTGATAACGTCACAGTGGGGACAAGAGCAGTGGAAAGATGGTGGGCGATGTTATGGTGCCTTAATCTACAGATCCATCTGTGAGCTTTCCTACCTGTGGGTGGAACATTAATTAATCACTTTGACTCTGGAAACAATTGCATCCAAGTCCAATCATACCTCTTCCTCAAACTGTAACTCATCAAAAACTTTCATTGGAGTTACTTAAAACCAGAGAAAGGAGATTTTGATCTCAACGTGTAAGATCCTAACATGCATTCACTAGTAGAAAGTATACTGTTCTAATATTTCACTGTCTAATAGAAATGGCTTGCATCAATTTTACATTATTTAATAAGATATGAGAGAAGTTATTTCCAGACTAAATGAATACCCTTCTCTTCTCCCATCAAAGACAGAGTAAAAATAATGTAAAAGGTATGTGTGAGGTAGAGGAAAAAAACATGGGAAAAGTGTTCAAACAAAATTATTGAAAAGATGAGGAGAAAATTCACACAAAGCTGACAGCTGGATTTAAATAGCAACATATCTTCCTTTGATCACTCAATAAAAAATATTATTATTTCCATGCCAGATTCATTTCATCTAACCAGACATGCTCAGTGCTTTTCTAGTTACCTAAACAAATATTCTGGGTGACATGAAAGTCCATCAAGCCAAAATAACATTATTAGCCTAAACCACAAATAAAACTGATTGCCAAGAATATGAAACCATGAGGAACATTTTAACTCATTCTTGGGATATGGGTGTCTTTATTGAGGCCAGCGTTTACATGCCAGTTGTGGCTTCCTGGGCAAAATGGTGCAAGGCTTTCTTCTTAAATTACTGCAGTCTGTATACTGGTCTAATACAATTGATTGGTTTCTCAAGTTACTCAAAAGTTAATCACAGTGGTGTCAAACTGAGCTTGCATGTGTACCATACTGGGTATTGATAATGAGCTTTATTTCCTAAGGAACACAGTTGGGTTTTCAGCCAGACATATATATGACTTTTTATGGGAAGTGCACTCGCAGCATCTGTTTTTGGTGAGGACATAATGATGGTGCTATATGCAAATGCATAGTCTACAGACAATTGGTGTCTTATTTCACACATGAACAATATCATTTGTCTAAGGACACAAAGGCTGTTGAGATTGTACCCAAATATGAAATGTTGCTTTCAGCCAATGACAGTAAACTTGAAACAAGTATCTAAAGTTAAGGTTAGTTATTCGTACTAAGAGCTTTAAGTGATGGGCCTACAAATTTGATTTGATTAGGAGGGTTAGTAATCCAAATCACAGGCCAAATGATTTTACATCTATTATTTTGTTCTTTGTAGCAAGCGTGTTGAATCATATAATTTACCACAGGGGTGCTGTGGCAGGGCTGTTGTGGTGCAATGGTAGTGTCTCTGCATCTGAACCAGGAGGCCTGGATTCAAGTCCCACCTGCTTCAGAAGTGCATGAGAAAATCTCTGAACAGGTTGATTAGAAAATATAATAGAGTCATGTGGAGGAAGTGGGTTGTTGCAGTGTAGTGGTAGTGTCCCTGTCTCTGTGACAAGAGATCTGGGTTAAAGTCCGACCTGCTCCTAAAGGTGTGTTATAATATCTCTGAACAGGTTTTTCAGAAAAGATTTACTGGACATTGTGTATTCATAAAGTATTCAGGTTCTTTACTAAAAACAAATATGCCACAATAAAGGGCCAATAATACCTGCTGAGAATGTAATTGAGTTTAAAACCACATCAGGATTTCATAGCTTAAGACTGCTTTTGCTAGGGCTAAACAGATATTACTTTTAATAGTTCATTTTAGAAGTTTTACATCTGCAGATTCCAGTACCTTTTCTAAAACAACCTGTCTCAGGTCTACATGAATGCAGTGCTTGTTCTGCTGGCTAACAGTTTTCTTTTTCTGTCTGATCCAGGGAACCACGTGTTGTCTCCTGGCAGCCATGTGGGAAAAGGCTTGACACCCGTTGCTGCTCAAGCACTAGGACTACCTATTGGAATTGCTGTGGCAGTATCGCTGATTGACGCTCATGCAGGAGGTTTAGGTACTCTGGGGAAAAGAGGATGGGAGTGAAACAGTGAACAACTTCAATAATATTTTATAAAAAATTATTTTTCTTTGATTTGTCAACTTGATAAATTGGTTACATTTATTTTTCCTTGGCCCTTGCTTCAGAAATCTTATAAAAATTTCTTTCTAATATTACATTTAATTAGAATTATTTTGTTTGCTCTTTTTAAATTACATGGCACAATTTAATGTCGGTACTTGTAAAAATGAATAAGCTTCAAATGCTGGTTATCAGAAATGAGATCAGAACATTCTGGGAACACAGCAGACCTATTGTACATATATAAAATAAGGTCATTTTTCAGAATCAGAGCACTGAAGTAGGATCCATGCTTGAAACATTTACTAGGATCCCTGCCTAATATTCTAGTGGCTACTGCTGGAAAATGCAGTGTGCACACTTTTGGTGAAGACAGTATTCTCCTTAGCCTGGATACCAGTGATGGTCAAAAAGCATACTTATTATTTAGTCTTAGACACTAGATCGGGCAATAAATTAATGAAGGGAAATCACCAGTCATGGTGGTTATGTACCTCAACATGAGTAATTAGGTGAAGAAAAAGGAGAGAAATTTCTGTCTCCTTTACTTCTGGTGTACCTGTTCTTTATCTTGGAAACTTGCTTATGTGCAGTCTATCATTAAAAACTTAAGTCCTTCTTACCTTTATAAGTAGGCCAGCTTCCTTTGTCCTTCTAAAGCCATGCAAGTTGTTGTTAGCTCTTGAATTATTTATCACTTTGAAAGTTTTTGATTGTCAGTATAGCGACTTATCCATTAGAACAAAGAACAAAGAAAATTACCGCAAAGGAACAGGCCCTTCAGCCCTCCAAGCCTGCACCGACATGCTGCCCATCACAACTAAAACCCCCTACCCTTCCAGGGACAGTATCCCTCTATTTCCATCCTATTCATGTAGTTGTCAAGACGCCCTTTAAAAGTCACTATAGTATCTGCTTCCATTACCTCCCCCCGGCAGCAAGTTCCAGGCACCAACCACCCTCTGTGTAAAAAACCTGTCTTGTATATCACCTTTAAACCTTGCCCCTCGCACCTTAAACCTATGCCCCCCTAGTAACTGACTCTTCCACCCTGGAAAAAAGCTTTTGACTGTCCATTCTGTCCATGCCAAAAATAAATCTTGTAGACCTCTATCAGGTCACCTCTCAACCTCCGTTGTTTCAGTGAGAACAACCCAAGTTTCTCCAACCTCTGCTCATTGCTAATGCCCTTCATACCAGGCAACATCCTGGTAAATCTTTTCTGTACCCTCTCCAAAGCCACCACATCCTTCCGGTCGTGTGGCGAACAGAATTGAACATAATATTCCAAATGCGGCCTAACTAAGGTTCTATAAGGCTGCCATAGACTATTCTGTGGAGCAATTTATTTGAAATGGGAGCAAAGTTTAGGGCCTGTAAAGGCTTAGAGTCATTTCATAATTAGTCTGACGTTTTGATGGGTGGGATTGCAGGCTGTTTCTGAATGGCAGATGTAATTTTCCTCATCTTGTGTTGAATGTGTATTTCATGGATGTGTGCATTTATGTCTGTTGTATACCACTGGGGGACGGTTTGTCTCAGTTGGCTGGATAGTTAGTTTGCGAAGCCATGTGTTGCCGACAACATGGGTTAAATCCCCACAACAGCTGAGGTTACCATCAAGGAGTCTTCTTTTCAACCTCTCTCCCCTTGCCTGAAGTATGATGGCCCTCAGGTTTAATCACCAGCAGTCATCTCTTTCTAATGAGAGAGAAGCCCTGTGGTTTGGTAAGGCTATGGCAATTTGTCTATACCGCTGGAATGTCTTGCCCACCGAACTATTTTTCATTGCCTTGGCCATGCTCAAAACCCATAACTAATGCACTTTTAACCAATTACCATTGCATAATCTTCCACCAAACTATGAAAATGTAGTTCAATTTCTTCTTAACCTGCTTCACATGTTACCTATATTAGGTAGCTTATCTTTTGGCAGTTTTTTCCAATAATTCCAAAGCTCTTCATGATTCTGCATTATCTCAACTCTGTTCCTTTTCAATTAGCTTAAAACTCTTACCTATTCTTTTGCCAGTGTAGTTTGCCATTTCTTTCATATTTTTACACTTAGTAAAAACATGTTATGGTCAGAAAAAGGAAAATTAAAGAGTTGATGTCTGATCCATAATTGCCTATTTTATACTAATAGTCAAATGAACACCGAAACACGTTCAAGTCCAAAATACCTTAGGATGAATGATCATTGCACCAGTACTCAATAATCTATGTTTACAAAGCATGACATTGCCACCTTGTATTCCAAAGAAAACAACTGCACTAGTGACTCATGCCATGCAGAATCAGTGGCATCTGCAGCAACCTGACAACTTAAATGTGGACAGCTTTTTCCAAAACTGTGAAGGTCACCATAGCAATACATTTTCATGTAATAGAATTCTTCCAAGCCACCACAAGTAACATCTGCCAGATAATCCATTCTGCTGTTTGTTCCTTTATAAAACAAGTGAGTGATGCCATGTTTGCTGGAAATGCTTTCATAAATTTCCCAGTGGAAAGAAAACACTAACTGGAGAGGGTACAGAGCATTCATCATCTGGCAGACTTCCCAAGTCTTAATTCAGTGTTGAGATGGAATCCATGTAACTGTAACTGTTCCATACATTAAAGACAGGATGGAAATCTAGTCTTTCAAATGCACAGACCATTTAAAACCAAAGAAAATATTTTTGTGCACATCAACCTGTTATCTAGGGAGTAGCCATGATACTTTAATTCTGTAATAATTCACGATGCCTACATTATTATGACAGTTTCGAGAGAATAACCAGATGGCTGTTGACAGACCAAAGCTTCTGTTTGCAGCCTTGGCTCATGACCCAAGTTGGAAACCCCTCACGTAGCAGCAAACTTCGATACAATGATGCTCATTGTTAGCAAACTATAGCGATACTACTGCAATAATTCTGTTGTTCAGACTGTTGTGGTGGAAAAAGCTTAAATGTGACAAAAAGAGAAAAAAGTAGGAAGAAATTGTACTAGCCCTTATGTTGGGGGAAAAGAATCCCTTTAGTCTATTCCTTCACAGCATTCTTTTGTCTCCTGACCAGAATTTGCAAAGTGTATTCTTTGAAAGAAATTCAACCCTTAAAATGCCATGGTCTCTTTTCATGGAATCATTTCCTCTTGCTATATGTCATCTTATCTGAATGAAGAGGAGTAATGTTGAGATGTTTGAAGATTACACAGAGTGGTAGTTGTCCCTTTGCATATGAGTCAAGTTGCTTTTATACTATTCTTTTAGTAATGATTCTGGGAGCCCACCCTGTGGCTTATGTATCTGCTACAAAGTTATACAGATTGGATGTAACAATTGAAGGAAGTGACTCATGTATGGTCTGTGTGTGGAAGTGGAATGAAAAGATAAATGGTCTAGAAGGATATCTAGCACAAAGCTGTTCCTTTTTTGAGAACACAACTACAGAAACTGGTGCAACAATATTTCTAGCCAATGCTGCAACAAGAAAGGTTTGCCTACTGCAGTAATGCACTGTGTGTGTCGAACATTTACTATACACTAAATTGATGTGTCCAACCCCAAGGGCCCTTGAGACAACTCAATGACTTGGGAGGCCATTTCAGAAGACACATTTAAGTCAAACAAAGTGGAAGGGCTTCATATTGTCTGAGGGCTGTTCACATGTCATTTAACAGTTACATGACTTTCCACTGCTAAACTGCTCAGTTCAAACGGGTAAAATACAATAAAGAACAGTGAAGGCGAGAATTCTGAAATCGGTTAATGTTCAGAATTAACTCTACTTTCTTTCCACAGATGCTGCCAGACCTACTGATTTCTCCAGCAATTCTGGTTTTGTTTCAGTTCTAAAGGGTGTTAGCATTGTATTTCGGAATTTGTCTATGATTTGTCCTTCTACAGGCTCTCACTGAGGAAGGGTCACTCGACACGAAACACTAATTCTGATTTCTGTCCACAGATGCTGCCAAACCTGCGAAGCTTTTGCAGGAATCTCTATTTTTGTTTCTCATTTACAGCATCTGCAGTTCTTTTGATTTTTATTTAATATCTCACTCAGTCAAATTCAGTTATGCTTAGGGAGGAACTGAGTATTATAAAAAACATTTTTTTTATTGTTGACTGTGTGACTGGTAGAAAATAATCACCAAAGAAACTGACTGTTGAAGTGTAAGCATGAATATGTAAAAACTAATCAAAATTAGTTTTTGCATAATCTGTTTCATTGTAAAAGCCAGAAGCATACTGACCTTTTTCCAGATTGGGTTGATATCTGTGGAGGCTTGTTACTCAAACCTCCTTAGGAATAATAAAAATGTATGGGAGGTTATGGCTTTGGGTAAGTGATAATATGATGTTGTCCTGTATACTTTTTATGATTTAGCAAAATCTTCACTCAAAGCCAGTATGAAACAGCAGAACAACATAAATCACTTGTTGGTGATCAGTAATGTTTCTAAATGTATGTGTTGTGTAATTTGCAGGGGAGGCAATGGCCTAGTGGTATTACCGCTGGACTGTTAATCCAGAGACCTGGATAACATTCTGTGTACCTGGGTTTGAATCCCACTGTGGCAGATGGTGGAATTTGAATTCAATAAAATATTTTATTGAATCTAATGATGACCATGAATCCATTGTCGATTGTCGGAAAAAAACCCACCTGGTTCACTAATGTCCTTTAGGGAAGGAAGCTGCCATCCTTACCTGGTCTGGCTTACATGTGACTCCAGACCCACAGCAATGTGGTTGACTCTGAACTGCCCTCTGGGCAATTAGAGATGGACAATAAATGCTGCCTAACCAGCAACTTCCCCCATCCAAATGAATAAAAGAAAAGAAAATTTCTGACAGAGCGGCTATTATTTTTGCTATTTTGAATTATTGCACTTGGTTTGACGCACTGATAGTTTTGAATTTAGAAATATAATTTGTCGTACAT